CGGAGGGCTTTCTTATAAAGCAGCAAACTATTTCTCCAGGCTAAATGATGATCCTCTAAATTTGTGACACGCCATTTCCTCTCCAGATTACGAGTCATCTGCTTTAGGGTACGTGTTTGAGAATTATACCACGGAGTCAGGTACTTCTGATTAGAGACCTTAGTTTTCACAGGAGCTACAGTATCCAGAGTCGTACGTAGTGAGGAGGTGAAATTATTAACAAGATAATCGACCTCTGTTGGAGCAGCGTTCAGATAGCTGCTCTGCTCTGTGTTGGTACAGGGCATTGGAGATGATAACAGTGGGTGGATTATATTCTTAAACTTAGTTACAGCGCTTTCAGAAAGACATCTACTGTGATAAAGTCTACTCTCCACTGCTGTGTAATCAATTATTGTAAATGTAAATGTTATCAGGAAATGATCAGACAGGAGAGGGTTTTCAGGAAACACTGTTAAATGTTCAGTTTCTATGCCATATGTTAAAACAAGATCTAGAGTGTGATTAAAGTGGTGGGTGGGTTCTTTTACATTTTGAGAGAAGCCAATTGAGTCTAATAACAGATTAAATGCCATGTTGAGGCTGTCATTTTTAGCATCTACATGGATGTTAAAATCACCCACAATAATTATTTTATCTGAGCTCAGAACTAAATTAGATAAAAAGTCTGAGAAATCAGACAGAAACTCTGTGTAAGGCCCAGGTGGACGATAGATGATAACAAGTACTGGTTTCTGAGTTTCACAGCTGGGGTGGACGAGGCTAGCATCAGGCTTTCAAATGAATTAAAAGTCTGTCTTGGGTCTTTGGTTGATTAAGAAGTTGCACTTTTCTGTTGCGCTGTTGTGTCTGGTCACTTTGCACTTCATGTGTTGATTGTTGTACGTAGCACTGGCGGTGTTGGAGGAACGCTGTCTCACTTCACTGTGTGCTGCACAGCCTGGGAATGACTTGGAGAGGAAAATTGCTGCCTCAGCTTTTATTCTTGGTGAACTTGCTCCTCCACCTCTATACACTCACACATGCATGTGTGACACATGCACACTCACACATGCATGTGTGACACATGCACACTCACACATGCATGTGTGACACATGTACACTCACACATACATGTGTGACACATGCACACTCACACATAGCATGTGTGACACATGCACACTCACACATGCATGTGTGACACATGACACTCACACATACATGTGTGACACATGCACACTCACACATGCAATGTGTGACACATGCACACTCACACATGCATGTGTGACACATGCACACTCACACATACATGTGTGACACATGTACACTCACACATACATGTGTGACACATACTGACTACACTCACACATACATGTGTGACACATGCACACTCACACATGCATGTGTGACACATGATACATGTGTGACACATGCACACTCACACATACATGTGTGACACATGTACACTCACACATACATGTGTGACACATGCACACTCACACATACATGTGTGACACATGCACACATTCCTACTCTTTACACATCCTGTACTTTGTGTGTCTCAGCAATCAATTAAACTGCACTTCCAAAAAACTTCCATTACAGAGGTTACATTTTCTCATTCATCACACTGACTGATTTATGCTTGATTATATTTGATTAGAATTATTCATGATGAACTTTGCTGTTGTCAAGGAGCTCATCTCGACCCGAGAGCCAAACTAAGCATCCAGCCTTTTATGGCTGTGGCAGCACAGAGTGTTTGGCAAAGTGCACCAAAGGAACATTAGATCCACAAAAGCCAGGAGTCATAACTGTACAGGTCACATCAGCAAACTTACTTGGACTGAACTTAAAAGGACAGCAAGCCAGGATCATCTTCAGTCATAGAAACTTCGATGCAGAGATATTTCATCATCATCAATCAGTGCGGAACAAGGTGAAAGTCTCATTAGCAGTTTAACACCTTTCGTTCCCTCTTACTTTCTCACCTCCGCTGTTTTCAGCAGGTTTAAAAATACACATTCTGCGCACCTAATTAACATAATCTTACACACACACACCACACACACACACACACACATCACAACAACACACACACACACACCTAACACACACACACACACACACGTGTGTGTGTGTGTGTGTCAGCTGCACAAGAACAGAGAAAAAAGCTCCATCCCTAAATTTAATTTCAGCTCAGTTATCCTGATTTTTTTTTATTGTTAATCTCTAGTTTTGTTCCTTGGAGAGGAGAAAGTCACTTCTTTATTACGACTGTCTATGTTGCTATTTTATGATTCTGAAGCAAAGCTGGCAAAAACAAACAATTGCACACACACAGGCAACAGCAAAGGAAATCAGACATGTGGATCTAAGTGACGTGCAACAGTCAAACCTTGTAAACACGGAGGGCTGGAAACTGGAGAGAAATCAGTGATTCATGCATTTGAGAAGTGTGAGAAGTGTGAGAATCCCGCACAGAACAGTCCATCACAGTCATCTACAGCAGCCGGTGCCAGTCTGTCTGCCTTGAACCTCACATACACAGGACGCCTGGGTCAACTGTTCATGTGTTTGCTCCTGTATTAGCACTTTGGTGACAGCAGGAAGGAGAAACTACCTTTTAACAGGAAGAAACAAAGACACACTGCAGTTGTAAACTACCACTTTAACAAAGTATGCATCCATAACTAGTGCTTTCATTGTCTGAGTGGAGAAGCCGCCCTGTTGTGTTGTGTCCCTCACTTCAGTCAATAAAGCCACTTTTTCACCTGCTCGAGTCCAGTTTGGTTGTTTCCTTCACAGCTGAGTCCCACCTCAACGTGCATGTTAAAGTCTGCGACACAAACACATCGATGACGTGGAGGCAGTCGTAAACCTGCTGCTTGGTCTATGGCGTTTGGTCAGACACGGGGAACGCAGTTTTCGTTTTTGTGCAGCCATGTCTCGGGTTTCAACAGCGGCGGTTTTGATTTTTGTGATGGAATCGCTCTTATGACACCACTGACTGGGCAGTTGGTGGCGTGCAGCCTGCTGACGTCACGTTTTCGCTTGGAACCCCGGCAGCCTGAAAGCCTTAAACACCGAGCTGAGTCAAGTCTTTATATTTTCAAAACCATTTTTATTCCTACAAAGGTCACACCGTGCATTCACAGTCAGTCACATCTGCACATCTATAACAGCTGCACCCGTTCCTAACAGTTTCCTTTGACCTTTGAAATCAGCACAGAAATCAGTCGCATTTAATGCTGCGTGTACATGTGACAGTGCAGAGAAACTTACTGTTCATTAACCACAAAGATGCAGTTGTCTTGTGAGGGGAACCCAGACACCGGGTGCTTACAGGTCACCTTTCGCTCATTGTGGCTGCAGAGAGAGAAAAGGAAAGACAGGAAAACAAAGTGTGAGTGAATTCATAGAAAATGATTTCGATCTAAACTTTCAGACAGAGTGGTGACCTGTCCACGGGCACCCTGACCTACCCATCACAGCAAGGAGAGGCTTTAAATCTAATGTGACTTAAAGACATGCAGTCACAAATCAAACTTATCAGCCATCGTTTTATTGATGCATCAGGAGAAAAGGAAAACAGTTCTCTGCAGACACTGACATGCAGAACAACAGCACCACACTTATTTACACATCTGGAACAGTGTGTGGTGCTAAACATCAGCATGATGTCTCGATGCATGCTCCGTCATGCAGGTACGTAGATCCCAAAGGTTGGTTCGGTTCATCTGGACGTTCTCAGTGGGAGAACCGTTCCACCACCATCATCATCATCAGGTGACTTCTTCAGTCTCAGCTGACTGCAGGTGTCCAACATTATAAACAGGACATTTGCACAATGCTACCTTCTTTGATCAAATGCAAATTGTCATGACTAGTAAACAACAACCAGTGATCAGAGCTGTATCAGAAAATACAAAATGAGATGATAATTATCATCCTGTCACTGCTGCAGTTATGGTGACCTTGCAACAACCAGTTATTTAAGATAAGTTACTTTAACGTCTTAGTTGTAATTTCTGAGTGATGTTAAGACATTAAAAGTGTCTTCATGGCAAAGTTATTTGAACCATTTATTTAAGTGCTTAAACTCACATTTTGTAGCATTTCCCCTGGAGACCAGTAAAGTACTCTGATTCTGATTTAAGATTCATTTCTGCTGGAAGCACCATCAGGTTAAAGTGAACTTTGTTCTTTGTAAGACCCTTCAGTTAGTGAAGAATCTAAAACACTCTTAGTTTACTTGCAGAGAGTTGATGTTTGCTGCAGCTTGGTGTCACTGCCAGCTACCAGCGTGGAGTCCTGCTGTGGAGCTTCATCACTTAGCTGACAGGTCTGGTCAGCACCACAGAAGATAAGTGAGCATGAGCACAGTGTGTGTAACTGACAGGTCATTTGAAATAGTTCATATACAGAGGACATCTTACTAACATGGTTAGAACCTGCCACTTTGGATTGTGGGCACTACAGTCGACAGTGCAGGAGCAGCAGCTGGAGAGCGTCGTGGTAATACTACACACATGCTAACCAAGCCTACCTCAGACATCAGCGAGAGACAAAATCGAAGCCGTCAGGTGCCGAGGAAACAGGACACACTGATGAGAAGGCTACTGGAACAAGACGGCATCAGTGGGCAAGAGAAACAGGGCGCTGCTGGGATGCTACAACGCAGGTCACCCAGTGGGAGGGGTTACGTGGACAGGATGAGGGACCTCTCGAATCTTCGATACCCAGGATCCAGACTGACGGTGAAACATCTAGTGGTGCAGTGTTTCAACACAGGAAGAAGGAACTGCTCTCACGGCGAGAGACTGACGAGGTACAACACGAATGCTACGGAGCCAGGATGATCTCTATGTGCTGTGACGTACCGTCTCTTCTGAAGTCAACTTATTTTATTAGAAATAATGAAGCCGGTGGTTCATTCATTTCACTGTATGCATCCAATTTCATTTTGTTTATAAAGTGCTGAATCACAGCAACACTTGCCTCCAAGCAGTTTATACTGTAAGGTAAAAAACCTACAATAATAACAACAACAGGGAGACCAACAGGGCCACAAATCTGCTCCTCAGCGTTATATTCCTGCTGCCTTACAACTCTGGTGTAAACCCCACTGAGTCACAGTCACTGCAGGTGTGGACAAGCACACCTGCACCACGCTGTGAGCTAACAGTGCTAACCACCGCACCATTGTACTGGCCCCATAATGTGTATTTATTATCTCACTCTTATTGCCTGTTCTTATTGTTCTGATCTTCAACGTCATGCTGCTCTGTTGTTTGTTATTTGTCACTTGGGGATAAATAAAGTCTTTCTGATTCTGATCATTCTCTCGTCTGACCTTTGACTGAGACGACAACAAACAAACCTTCAAGATCTGCCGTCACTGAGTACGTCCCAATTCACAGGCCAAATATGAGCAGTTTCATTGTACTGGGCTGTAATTTGGTGGACAACAGGTGGAAGTCACTGTCACTTGGAAACAAATTTACACAGTTTACATGTTGTTGGAAACACTCTTAAAGGAAGTAAACAAGTCAACAAAATGCAGCTAATCCCAGCCCAGGACCGCCGTCAAATCAGCCGTCATTGGTGAGCAGTGAAGTCAGTCGCCGTTGAACTTCACCAGGTAAGAAAAAGACGAGTCGTGAGGCTGCGGGGCTCGTTTATACCTGTTCATGTCGCTCCAGTAGAATCACTGCGACGGTCGCTTTGCAGAGTCTTTGTGCTGCAGGGTGTGTGTGTGTGTGTCTGTCTGTCTCTGTCTGTGTGTGTGTGTGTGTCTGTCTGTCTCTGTCTGT